ATAAATAAATATAAATAAAGATTTCTAAATCAAAAGACAGATTTAAAAAATTAAAAAACTATGTAAATGTAAAAATAATCCAGCAGATCAAATGTATATAGTCACGGTCAGTATAGAAATCTGCATCAAAAGTAGCACATTGCTCTTGACTCATTAGTCTCTTTCCTCAATTGTTACTTTTTAATTGCGAAAGTCCGAAAGTAATTTCTTTTGTTTATATATATTATATATACAATATATATATGCAATTTGCATCCGTTCCGTAGCGTTCAGGGGACGATGACCGAGGACGAAGCCTTAGTCCGAGCTCTCCAGGCTTCCCTAGACGACAAGGAGTGAAGCAGACAAGTATGTTACAACCAGTGCCTTCTGGAAACCGAGATAGATGTAGACTTTTGTAACTATCTATAAGTTATTTTATATCGTCATAAAGAAAAAAAACTCCCTCCTTGTTTCCTGAAAACCTGTGGACATGAAGATACGATATTATAGTTCTTGAAGCTAGCGTCAGAATGTGTGCAGATTTGTGATTCGTGACTCACTAGTCTGTAAATAGTGTGAAAATAAGCAGATTCATCGAGTTCGCATTCGTTGTTTATTACTCGATTCATGTAGTGGTTTTCTAACGAAATTAAAAGATGCAAATCATCACAATCACGAATAAACTGATTCATATTTAGAGTTAATTCATATAAATACATTATCAATTATACAAGCAATTGCGAATAGCATTCTATCGCCAGTCTAAAGGACGCACACATTTGAAACATATATGCAACGGAAGTTACTTAAGTATTATAATACATTAGTTGCTCTATCCATTTTTGATCTGTTATATGTATATTGTTATATACTCACCCGCAAAAAAAGTGGTATACTGAAAAATTAGGCAAAATTTATCAAATTTCAAATGATCATAACTTGGTAAATAATGAAAATAAAAATATATTAAAAAAAAGAAAATAAAGCTTGAAGTGTCCACTTTAAGAATATTTGAGCGGCAATTATAAGCCGTAGTTTTTTTCAAAATGGCGGATGTCAAAATGAGAAGGTGTAAAATTTGGAATCAAAAGTGCAAGTTTGTGGCGATGCACGGCGTGAACCAGGTATCGCAGCTTAATAAGACAAAATGCACATGAAAGTATGGAATTTTAGCTTTAAAATGCTTTCTTACGGAGTTCGATACGATCATTTTTCACTGAGTTATTTCAAATTTAAGTTACCGCTGTCATTAGCTCAAGTTATGGTTGTAATTCATCCCAATGTGAACTGCATAGAGTTTGACGGGTCGGAATTGAATCTCATTTCGCGCACCCACACACACACACGCGCACACACGCAAATATGCACTTACATCCATACACACACGCACGTACAACACACACACACACACACACACAAAATGAGATTCAATTCTGACCCGTTAAACTGTATGCAGTTCACATTGGGATGAATTATACAATCATAACTTGAGCTAATGACAACGGTAACTTAAATTTGAAATAACTCAGTGAAAAATGATCTATCGAACTCCGTAAGAAAGCATTTTAAAGCTAAAATTCCATACTTTCATGTGCTTTCATGTCCTATTAAGCTGCGGTACTTGGTTCACGCCGTGCATCGTCACAAACTTGCACCTTTGATTTCAAATTTTACATTTTCTCATTTTGACATCCGCCATTTTGAAAAAATTACCGCTTATAATTGCCACTCAAATATTCTTAAAGTGGACACTTCAAGCTTTATTTTCTTTTTTTAAACATATTTTTATCTTCATTATTTACCAAGTTTTGATCATTTGAAATTTGGTAAATTTTGCCTAATTTTTCAGTGTACCGCTTTTTTTGCGGGTGACTATAACCCGTTATGTCATCTGCATAGAATAGAAATTAAAACGCGTTTATAAAATTGCTCACGTAATTAAGCACACTATCGCTAAGCATCTCATGGGATTCCTAAGCAAAATTGTACATCAAAGCACCTTGTCTTAAAGAGAAGTTACTCATCATTAGATAAGATTTTAAGTTAAATTGCAAGTACAAATTGTTTGTAAATCGATATTTCCTTTATGTATTTTAAATGTGCAGATTGTCTCATATACATATATATATATATATATATATATATCCTATATTATATATTTCATTTAGATTATAAACTTTCTGGCTTACAGTCAGGAAATTTATTCTGCCGAAAATAAAATGATTCTGATAATTACTCATTATTTAATATTTATAATGATATATTACACGACAAAAAGCTTTAGTATAGAGGGTCTTAGTACGCGAAGCATAATCTACTTTAGAATATGCATTTACATAAAATCTCTTTACTTCAATAATAAAAAAAACAAATTGTTTGAATTCACGCTTTTCAATATTTGTAATCCATTTGCTATATAGAAACTGCTTTCGAATCGTGGCTACGCATGCAGATTTTTATACGAAAAATTCACATCTGTGGATTTATTTTTTATTTTAACGGAATATTTTATATGAGCATAAATCGTCTGATTAATTTATAAAAATATTCGCGTATATTATAAAAAATTATTTACGTATAATTTTTTTATCCATGAGATTTTAACAAATAATATATAATAAACTATGATAATCAGTCTTTAGTGCAATATCAAATGCATTTGTGCTGGCAGGAAAAAATCGCGTATATACTACTGTGGCGACATGGCCATGCCACATGACTGCACGCGCCATTAGTACGGCGAGCTGAGGCTATACTCGGCATACAACGCGCTTTCCCGCGAGCGCTCACCAAACAACTTTTTCGCGAGCGCCCTTGAAGAAGATTAAATAATTTTTCTAACAATCTGATCACAGGAGGCTAATAAATTAAATCTTCCATGTATTTTCATTTTTATGGTTCGATACGCCACAACTTTTGATTATTTGACCGCTCAACTAACCCGTGAGGAAAAATAAAAGCAACTTAACCGTATACCGGCAGACAGCAAATAAATCAATTCGCCGCGCCAACCAGAGCTGCACTCTCGGTGCTGGTCAATGAGTCCTTATTTTAACGCGACGACACTTCGTATAATTGTCGTGAACAATGTAAATAGTTAAAAATAAACAGGAATTACGACGTGGCTGTAAATATGCGATTGGATTTACTCACCGCGCGATGTGCCGCGCTGCTCGCCGCCTCGTTGCTTACCTGATGCCGCGTCCCGTACAATTGTTCGTTTCCACTCACGTCCACGTGAAATAAAAAAGCACCGTTAAACACGATCGCGAATGACATAATATGTCTGCGACGAATTATAATATCAATATTGTAATGGATATTAATATAAATTTGTATTAGCATCAAATAAAAAAATCGTGTTAATTTTATGTTTACAGGGAGAATCTGACGATTATATCGTGAGATTGGCAAAGAATGATGGCCGGTTATTATCCAAAAACTTTTAACCTAAATTATATAACAAGTTTCTTTTCAATAAATTAAAAAAGGTGAAATAAATTTGACAATTATTCTTTTAAAAACCTTTACCTAATTTCATTTTTAGTATTACGAATATTTATTTATTTGTTACTGACAAACAGTAATTTAAAAAATCTTTTTGTTAATGCATTAATTTTTGATACTGTTATGGTACTGCGAAAATTAAAAAAAAAACGTTACTGATTTTTGATGCTGTCATGGTACTGTAATCCTGTACCATAATAGTATTGTAAATCAAGTCTTGTCCCGTTACTATTATCCCAGTATATTAACAGTATTACACCAGTACTGGTACATAGTACTGTGCCAGTGCAGTATCCGAAATTAGTACTGGCCCAGTACCTTACCAATATTTAATTCCCACTTGGGTAATTTATAAAATATTAAAAAATTTGATTAAGAAAGATATCAAAATTTGATAAAGAAAAGAAATCAATATAAATTTTTCTTCATTTCGGTGTAATTATTGTTTGATAAAAGTTTATAGATCAGATTTTTATTTTTATTTCTTCCTTTTCTGAAGCTAAATGTATATATATTATTGAAAATTAATCTAAAGCTTCATTGCCGCTTCCTTTGATTTGCGAAACATTACGTGTTTTGTATGATTTAGCATGGATATTAGCATGGAATATTATTGGAATTCAATTAGACAATAGGAAAAGAACTCAATAAAGAGCTCATTGAAATTAAAATGTAAAATTATTAAAATAAAATATTTGTTTTCCAAAAAATAATAAATTGATTAAAAAAGAAAATAGAAAAAACAATATTATTTATTCTGTTGCATGCTACGAAGTTCTTGAGAATTGCTGGGGAGGTCCCGTTTGCCTACAAAACGATTGCCTACAGTTTCGTTTGCACACAACGCATTGCACACACGACTGTATTGCGCACAACGCATTGCACACATGACCGTATTGCGCACAACGCATTGCACACACGATCGTATTGCACACAGCGCATTACACACACAATCATATTGAACACAGCGCATTGCACACACGACAATATTGTACACAACGCGTTGCACATATGACCGAACACATGACCGAAGCTGTAGGCAATCGTTTTGTAGGCAAACGAAGCCCTCTCGAATTGTTTACTATTTTTATTTCATATCCGCAAAGATTCGCCTCTTCCTCATTAAATTAAATTATATAATAATATTTTAGAATTTCATCCACGTATAATACACTAAAATGCATATAAAAAGTATTAATCGTCAAATAATCAAACAACCAATAAAAAAAAGAAATATATCGAAAATAGATTTATAATGCATCTTTATTTAATGTTTATATCAATATCGATACATGTTTACATTACATAATTTTGTTGAAAAAAATACATTTCTGCTTAATAAATAATTTTATGAAAATAATATAATATAATACCGTTTTTTTATTTTCTCAAGTTTTCAAAAACATTAAAAGTGTCTTCTATATTTGGAATAAATACTATATAGTTTTATTTAAACAATAAATAAGTTCTATCGTAATTTAAACTTTATATTATTTGCTTATGTATACTCTAGAAATGAACATAATATTTTGAAAATTTATAACACTGAGACGTATATTTGAAACGAAATTCTATAAAATAGAATGGACAGTAAGTATTTTTTTCATTGTGATATTATTACATAAATGCAATAAACTGTATTACATTTAATAAACATAAGAATAAAAAAAGCGCGTAAAGTTGTATATTTTTTTGTAGAGCAAAGTTAATAATTAAACATAAATAAAATGGCAATAAAACGTAAAAATATAATCAATAGGAAGCAGCCCGGGCTGTTCTCCCCTCTTTCTTTCTTCCTGTCAACTCACAATTGAACAGGGAAAGGGCGATGTATTCCTATTACTATTTCTCCTTTTGGTATTGCCCGAAAGATTTCAATGGGAGCGCGCAATTTATTATATAAAGCCTTTTCATACGCAGCACGCAGCAGCAGCAAAATGTCACGTAATTCAAATTTTTCAGAATCATTTCCACCGCATTTGTTGCGCGTAAAAAGGAATTTTGCAGCAATTCACATTGAAGTTTAATCTTAATTTATAATATATAATATAAATAATGTAATATAAATAGCGATATATTTGTTGAGTATATCTATTGTATAATTGCATTTTAACGAGATCGGAAGAGCACACGTC